TATAACAATACGACTTGCAGATTCATTCGGAGGGGAAACTCAACGAAAGGGAAAACGAAATATTGAAATTTTATACTATGGATTTTTATTGAAACAGACAGATACTTTTTTTGCTGGTTCTGATTGTTCGAAGATCTCGTGGGACTCGAAAGTAATTACAAAAGTTCTATAACAAATATCACTATATTTCCAAAATAATTATTTCTGCAAGTTAGACTTGGGCTTCTTCTTCTTCTTCGGGGTCGTCGTACTCCCTTAGACTTGAGCGTTCCAATTAAAATATGTAGGATAAAAAACGGAACGTGTGAAAAGAGTGTGGAACGGAGCGTTATGATGTGAGTGAGAGAAAACGGAAAGAAAGAGAAAAGAGAATGACAGACAGAATGACAGAGAAATAGGAAGATGACGAAGACGGTTGAAAAGAAGCAAGACGTAATAAAAGTGTTAATTATTATAACAGAAGATTTTGGAAAAGTGAAAATTTTATTTTATGTGCTGCGATCCCTATTCTACATATATTTACGCTTGTATATTATACGCAATGGTATCACGGTACTTTTTATCATTAGGATTAATAGGCTTTCCATACATACGGTTTTTCAAATTCTAAAGCCAAACCGAAATAGCCTGTAGACATACGCTGAGCGTGAAAATAAAAGTTTGGCCATTCACATCCTGCATCAAACTCAAATAGTTTCATTTAGGATTCAATAGGATACAAATAAAACGTATTTTGATGAAGAAAAGACACAGCTAAGGTAGAACTTGAATGATAAGATAATCATAATATTTTATGATAAAAACAATGCGACTAAATATATTTAGCTACTTGAAACTATTCCGCCTTAAAAGATGTGCTGTTGTGAGTTAACGCGTCCTTGCACTATTGCTATCTTCAGTGGAACAACTTCGCTGCATTGCGGCTTTTCCGGCTAACAGTCCCCAAGACAGTTGAGGCAAGAATTTTACAAACACAATTTCTAACAGATGTATTTTAAAAGTTTGGTCAGGATGAATGTAGGTTGATTCAGATATTTGGCAACAAAATGGAAGAGGTCATCGAAATCCATATAAACTAAACACAAGTACTGTGAGACCGTAGAAACTAAGAGTCTAGCCGTTAAGCGGTATTCATGTGTTTTCTGCTAATCTAACACTTGTGTTTCTTGAAATAGAGTGTAATTTTTTTAATCAAATATCGAATTCTGCATTTTGGTCCGTTTCTAATCAAGATTCCATAAACACGAAGACAATTAATTTAGGGAGCTCTATCGTCTCAGGAATTTGGCTTCTGAGTTATTCACCACTTAACATAAAGATAAGGAGTTACTAACAGTCATAACGCGGGACGTGTTCGGATTAATGTCTGTAAACCCCTTCCATAGAAATGCTGTGCTGATATTTGAATTCGTGAAACGTATACCTAAATGGGATTTTTATTATTCTCGAAACTTCGAAGAAAGTCTTAGAAAGTAAATCGAAAGCAATAAAGCTAAAACGCAACTAAGCTTTGGATTTGATAAAGAATTTTAATGTTTTAATTCGGACGGTGGCATTCTCATTATAACGCTGTCTACTAGGGATACTAGTTACTCCTTAATAGCTGTTGGATTTTTAGCTCATCGGGCTAGTGTAAAAATAAAATTCCGTACCACTGACACCAGAAACCTTCCACAAAAGGCCAATAATAACGTACAATTTTTTCGATATGAACGCAAAAATGACGATGGATTTACTGCATATTAGAACACGAGTCCACACTTACCTAGTAGTAAGTGGTTACAGGAGCTTGTACTCTATGACCACACGAATGGCCATATGCATAAAAATAGCATTCCCAAAAAATAAGGAAATGTTAAATTACCTGGAAAAGTGGACCGTGAAATTTCAAAACCTTGGCACATCATTGCATAAGCCCGTCCAATTAGACCAACACACACGACTGCCATTAAGTGGTTAAACTAACGCTATGTTAAAGTCAGTTTTGATAAGTCACCCCGTAATGCCTTTAGACACGAGGCAGGTGCTCTTAATGTACTCATACCTTTCTTTAGCTTAATTAAATTGCCGGTAGTAGTTAGTGATGTTACCTAAGACGTTTTTATTTATTATAAACAGCCAGGTTTTGAGATGTAATGAACATAGACTTAACGTGAATAAATTTTAAAGAATGGAAACGCATAATGTCACGACGCTGACGAATCACGGACAAGGGAATCCCAAACGAAAGTATGATAGAATGTGGCAATTATGATCTCGGAAAATTTGCTTTTTCTATTGAAATTTCCTGCAATGGAAAGTGCTAGAAAACGGCTGACCAGAGATGTCCAACGAAAATGACATAATAATCGTACGGCCAGCCATTGTTTAAAAGATTTTAACGATCTATAATGATAATAATTCTCTAACTAATTCCTTTATTTCTATATTTACGTATTAATGAGCACATTTTGAATGTCTAGGACCTGCCGGCCGCGAAATGATTGTGCTTTCCGATTCTAAGGACTAATGATTTCAGCGTTTAAGTTGAAATGTCCATGTCCAAAGCTCTATAGTAAGCTTTAGATAAGCGATGAATAGTACCCAAATTATTGAAGCTAAACACTTCTAAAAGGCCTTTATCTAGATTTAACTAAAATAAAATTGGGTCTGAATATAACTATTTGAGTGTCTTCATACGAAAATTGTGAGATTGTTCTTTAGTCAAAATAAGCCAAGATAAAAATAAATTCACAGTAGGCTTTGGACAAATTTCAGTGTGTCAGGTGTTCGAGGCCATAAAGAAAAGTGGTGCCGTTACCCAGAAAAGGCGGACCCTTTCCTTAACAAGATAAAGCGGAGGTCAATAGTAGTGATCCGGGCAGGATGTACTTCAATCTATCGAGATAACAAATACACTTACTTATTCAAAACGTTTCATTACATAGAAAGGTACGTATTTGATTCGATGATCAAAAGTAGAATTTTTAACTAATTCTGATTAACTAAAGTTTTTTGAATCTAGAACATACCTATAAAATTGAGTAACAATGTATGAAAATGGGGAGTAAAAAGAAATTTGATACTTAACAGTTAATTTAAAAAAGTATAATTATCTCCTAGTTCTGCGAGTATCATTGCCTTATTCCTATTTACAAATGAAATTTTAGTTCCAGTTCTTTTTTTTTGTAACATGCAAATTTATTCCAATATTTTCGCATAAATAAACAACTAAATTAATCTCAACGGATTTCACTGAAGTAAATATGTAAATTTTGGAATTATGACTTCCGCCCGTGACTCGTATGCGTCCAGGCGTTACGGAAAGGGTCGCCATTTTTTTTTTTTTTTTAAATAAAAATGTCGTGTCAGTTTTGGGGAAAGGTTACTTTATTAAATGTGTTTCCCGATATTTTGCGTCGCTGTAATAATTGTTGCATAAAATAAATAAATTAACAATTTGTGGTATCGAAATTTCGGTGTCAAACAATTGATTGACCAAAGTTTTCTTCGTTTGACCTGAGCTTTACATGGTTTTTGAAATTGGTGACTTCAGAGGCGTCTACATATCAGAATGGTACTGCTTTTATCCTTTGGTCACATTTTGAAGACATAATTACAATGCCATATCGTAGTGTCTTAATACTAAAAAGATCACTACTCTAGACTTTTTTGCTGACTTTAAAATTTACGCCTCGACAGAAAGACCCACGAATCGCTTAGAAATTTCATAAAAACAGGCAGGTTTTGGTTCTCTCTGTGTTTTTTAAGTTAGATTCCGTGAAGAGTGCTCTGAAAGTTCATTTTGAATGTATCCGCATCATCATGATCGCACCATCTCTCGCTACTGAAACCGTTACTCGTTTCCAATTTAGTTATCTGCTCTTATCAAATACGTGTCAAGATGTGTTATGTCCTACGTACGTCCTGTCAAGGACATTCATCAAAGAAGTTTGAGAAGCATTGGGCCGCTTGCGTTGCCAATTTCCATGAACGATTTTCAAATAATTTTTTTTGTTGGCAGGTCACCAATCGATAAAAATCAAATATTTCAGCCAATTGAACCGTAACGCCAACACTATTTGTCAGCCGTTCATTGAATGTCTGAATTGTTACTTTAACAATTAATTTAGCCGAATAAATTTTAATGTTAGTTGTACGAATTTTATTTTTTGTGGCTATACGATAAAATAATAAACGAGACTTTCCTTTTTGGTTACATTAAAATCGATAAACTATTTGCATTGGATTAATGGTCTATTATAGCCCTTAAAAGAGATGCAGTGATTGCTTTGAGGCAGAATTAGACAAGGAAATGCTAACCAAAGTGCTATAGAATTACCACTTAAAAATTACAAAAATATCTTAGTATTCTTCTTATTTTTTTATTTATTGCTTAGATGGGTGGACGATCTCACAGCCCACCTGGTGTTAAATGGTTACCAGAGCTCATAGACATCTACAACGTAAATCCAGCCACCAACCTTGAGACGTGAGTTGTAAGGTCTCACTTTTAACAATACAACGGCTGCCCCGCCCTTCAAACCGATACCGAAACGCATTACTACTTCACGGCAGAAATAGACAGAACGGTGGTACCTACCCGCGCAGACTCACAAGACGTCCTACCACTAGTAATTTTTACGGGTTTGATTTTTATTACACGATGTTATTCCTTCACTGTGGAAGTCAATCGTGAACATTTGTTAAGTACGTATTTCATTGGAAATATTAGTACCTGTTGGCGATATTCGAACACCAATGCATCGCTCCATTCGAATGCACCGGACGTCTTATCCTTTAGGCCACGACGACTTTAATTTATGAGAAAACTATTCTCATTTTTAAGGAAACTATATGCTCAAAATTTCAATGTCAGTTTTCAATAAACAGTAAACGTATAAGAACAAGCACTTATGCTATACAATGAATCCGGAAATTTTGTTCAAGAGACACGTCTTTTTTGGGGCCAAATAAAAATAATGTGGCAAATTAAAGTAAAGTATTTTTTGTGTTGCCAGATTCGAAAATGTCCGTCTCCGAATTCAGAAGGAAGAAGCTTCTGTACGTGTTCAACGTGTTCTTCGGTGAGTTATCAAAGTTTTGGNGTATAAGAACAAGCACTTATGCTATACAATGAATCCGGAAATTTTGTTCAAGAGACACGTCTTTTTTGGGGCCAAATAAAAATAATGTGGCAAATTAAAGTAAAGTATTTTTTGTGTTGCCAGATTCGAAAATGTCCGTCTCCGAATTCAGAAGGAAGAAGCTTCTGTACGTGTTCAACGTGTTCTTCGGTGAGTTATCAAAGTTTTGGATCTAATTTATTATTTTCATTGAAAAAGTTATTTTTCAATTTACTTTCCATCTTTTTTCGCAGACGTCAACCAGAGCGGAACCATTGAGAGGAAAGACTTCGAGTTGGCGATTGAGGTATAAAATCTTTTCCACTTTTTCTTTCGCAAGATATTAAGAATTATATTTAAGGTATTACGTAAATTTTTATGTCTTTCAGTTATGTGTCTCTATTTAGCCTGACTTGCTACATTCTTTTAATTTAGAACTGTTGTCTGAAAGGGATCGTTATAAATGATAAGAATGCCAATATTTCACTTACTTAAACAAACAATCTCCTCGATTTATTGCTTAAGCAGTCTAGAAAAAATATTAAAAATTTTAACTTCCAATTCTAACTAATTTTAATTATAGCTACGACTACGCTTAGCAGAACACAGATCTATTAGATGGAGTAAGATACTATTTATAAGTTATAAGACCAGATTTGGCAATAATAAATTAGCATTGGAATCAGAAGGAAAAAAAACAACAAATAAATATCTACCTACGTAAAATTCAGAATTAGCTCTATGTTGTATAGTGGAGTGTACTAAATATCCAGTCTTCTTCTTTTAGTAAAACACATAATGTCGTAATAGTGTCAAGAATATTCATGCTTTTGTGTCCGCTTCATATTTTATGTTTTTTATTTATTTATTGCTTAGATGGGTGTATGAGCTCTCAACCCACCTGGTGTTAAGTGGTTACTGGAGCCCATAGACATCTACAATGAAAATGCGCCACCCACCTTGAGATATAAGTTCTAAGGTCTCAGTATAGTTACAACGGCTACCCCACCCTTCAAACCGAAACGCATTACTGCTTCACGGCAGAAATAGGCGGGGGGTGATACCTACCCGTGCGGACTCACAAGAGGCCCACCAGTAATTTTTTTATTACGTATGTATATTATTATGTAATTTTATTAGGGTTCTATTGGCATTCCCATTGGATTGTACCGTTGTAACTTTATTAAATTCTTTGTTTTGTGTTTCTTTGAAACTGACGCTGTCTGGAGGCACACTAATCTAGTCTAGAAAGATCGTATTTTAAGAACATATTGTTTTTAGTTGAAATTAAATTTCCTTTCATGTTTTCATTGTTTCAAATTAATTTGTTTAAGTGCATATAAGTGATATTTTAGGATTAATTTACATATTGATTGTAAATTGTTCTTTACTCAAATTTTGACTTTTGTTGTTAGCTAAAATATCTTGTAAATGGCCGACTTGGTATTAATTATTTATTAGAGCCCATGGACCACATTAAATTTAGGTGAGTCGTGAACTTGTTTGCCAATAGCAAATATATTTTTATATTATAAATTTGTTACAGAAAATTTGCAGTCTCCGTGGATGGAAGCCCGGAGACCAGAAGAACACTGAAACTCATGAGATCATGATCAAGATCTGGGATGGATTGAGGAAACGAGCTGATTCCAACAAGGATGGACAGGTTAACTATAACACAACGATAGCTATACGAAATAAATTTTAATTACCTACTTTTTAATTGTTTAACAACCTGAATCGACCCAAAAATATTGACTACAGTCTGCATACCGTTCATCATGAGACATAACGTTGAAGTTTGGTGGTAGAGCATGTTGTGAACTCGCACAGATAAATCCAATTTATTTTATAACTAGGTGGATGTAACATGCAGGATGTTTTGTCCGTGGACTGCTTATAGTAACTGTTTAATACCATGTGGAAGTTGAACTCGATTGCTCATCTACGCGACCAATTAAAAAAAAACTTTGCAAAGACCAAAGATAATAATTCCATAGTTTTATTATTAAAAAAAAATGTGGTGTCGTGGGACACCAGGTAGGAACGAAGTTCCTTCGGCTAATGTAGAATCGACACAATTTGCAAAAAAAAAACCTGCTCAATTTTATGTAGGTTTTCTTGATTTTTCTTTTAAATTTTGCTGATTAGTTTTTATTTAAGTACAGGAAAGTACTTAGGAAATTCAGATTTTTTTTGGGAAATAATAAATTACGTAAAATAAAAAAAAAAAGTTAATTCAAATTATCAATTAAAATAACAAAATATGTCTCTTTACTTTTGTTTGACAACATAAAATTACATAGAAATAGAAATAATTACAAAATAGAGAGAGAAGGGATGAGAGAACGAAAAGAAAGAAGGAGAAAGAGAAAGGTACTCGCTTGTGTATACATACGACTGTCGCGCCTGCGCACGTCTCATTTAACGGTTTTATTCCACGCACTTTTTCTTACGGTTTTCCTATCACATTTTTTTCAGTTCGGTCGCGCAGCAAAATCCCTGTCTCCTCCAAGCCAAGGAACTTCGTTCCAAAAATTAAGGGATAATTTAGGCGTTCATTTGTATCCAACGTAATTATCTCAAACCACGTAGACAATATTTCTCATTAATTCAGTACCCTTGTATCCTTTGGTTAATGTTAAAAAAATACGGACACCCTCCCTAATTGTGCGATACTGTTTCCAGTTCATTGTTCAGAAATAAATTGCCTGTGTGACCTTCATTACGTCTTTTTGCCGAGTAATTTCATTATCGTACGCCCTTTTATGAAGGACGCAACAAATATACTTTGATAAATGTATTATCCTTTTTGGATAATGACACGTGTGGTTTGCGAAAATATGGCATTGGCGCGAAACAATTTAATAATACGGTTTTGGATTAATTTTGGTCTCAGCTCATATTCCAGTGTGTTCGTTAATTTTGGAATTTACCTACCTGTGTGAACGGCCGCGTTTGTATAGTTAGATAGGCGAATAAAATAAGGCTTTTCGCCGTCGACACAAAACCGTTTTTGATTGAATTTTTTTCAGAAAACCGGATGATTGAATCAACTGGTTCCGTGTTTTTTTTTTGCCTCCGAGAAAAATTGAAAATTTCGCTACCGAAAAATTTGAATATTGTGCTAACCGGCCATTTTTGTACTCGTATATTTCATACTAGCGAACCCGGCGAACTTTGTTCCACCTTAGAGGCAATAAATGGGCAGTCTTTAGATCAAGGTCAATTTTTTATTTGGATAATTAATGTAAATTAAAAAAGCAAGTATTTTAATGATTCTTTATTGGCCATGTTAGTTATTATTATTATATTTTCTTGTTCTTCTTCAGTCCTTTCACTCGCAAAGTTTCGAATCCTAGTTGCATTACGGTTTCGTCGGGAAAGATTTGATCGTGTTGGTCCCGACATGGCTTTCTTAATGATTACCTATCTCGGCACAATAAGCTAATAGAAACTCGAAACAAACACATCAACCGGTCAACTTCAAAATTCTACTATAATTAACCATAAACTACATTACGTTTAGCTGTCAGTTGCGTTTTGTTATTCCATATCTGTTGCGTTTTGTTATACCACATTTTATGTCACATCCCACAGAAACGTAATAAAAAGTATCCTATGTCCTTCTCCTGATCCTAAGCTACCTCCCCACCAATTTTCAGCCAAATCAGTTCAGCCGTTCTTGAGTTATAAATAGTGTAACTAACACGACTTTCCTTTATATATACCTTATAGGATTGTAGAACCTTAAATTTAATTTCTAACAGAACAAACTAATAAAATGTTGAGTTTTGACAGTTTGTATGACTTGAGTTTTCATCTTCACGATAACAGGACGCCTGGAAACTACTGAAATAATATAATGACAACAAAAAGGATATTAAGTCGTGAAAGTAGTTCTAATTAAATCTTATATGTCTATTTCAACAACCGATTATAGCCAATAGCCTCATTAATTTTGCCACGAACGACACGATATCAACCAGTATGGATATCGCTACAAACTCCTGAAGAATAGGAACAGAATATTGCTTTTAGTCGCAAACTCTTGTCTCTTAGATTCGTTCTGAACACACCACTAATATATGACAAACATCCTCTCTCCTGTTACGGTCTGAGAATTTTATATGAATTATATATTATTATTGCTTAGATGGGTGGACGAGCTCAAAACCCACGTGGTGTTAAGTGGTTACTGGAGCCCATAGACATTTACGACGTAACCCACCACGTGCGCCACCTACCTTGAGATATCTTATACCTTTAAAGAGCAATTCTTGTATACTAATATATATGTATATAATCTGAATCTCGCAAACGGCTCCAACGATTTTCATAAAATTTAGTATACAGGGGATTTTGGGGGCGATAAATCGATCTAGCTACAATTTCTTTTCAGAAAATGTTGTTTTATTTGGTTTTTCAATAATCAACTCTTCCCGACATCTATTGGTGAATAATAATACTATTTTTCTTAATTGAGGGCAACTAACCAAGATGGCGTTATCAAAAAAAAACCGAGCAAAGCTCGGTCATCGTCTAGTAAGTTCTAAAGTCTCAAGTATAGTTACAGTGGCTGCCCCATCCTTCAAACCGAAACGCATTACTGCATCACGGCAGAAATAGGCAGGGTGGTGGTACCTACCCGCACGGACTCACAAGAGGTCCTACCACCACAATGCACCTCAAAATTTCCTTTTATCTGGTTTTTCTTCTTGTAAGCCCTTCTTCTAATAAACTACATTCTCTAGGTTTCCGTAGAAGAGTGGGTATCTATGTGGAATGACTACGCTCAGAACCCATCCGCAGCTCTGAAATGGCAGCAACTCTACTGCCAATTCATGTTTCAACTGGAAGACGCTAGCGCCGATGGGACTATCGACTGTGACGAATTCACCACTGTTTGCTCCTCGTACGGAATCGACCCCAACGAATGCAAGATGGCTTTCAGCAAGATGGCCAAGGTCAATTTTAATTTTTTCGATAGCTGTATTAATATTATTATTGGTTTTACAAATTTTATCAAGAGCTGCTTTCTCTAATCGTTCAAAATGGTTAGGTCATCATTGACTTGTCAAGTGGCTACTGGAGCCTGTCTCCAAATTTAGTGCACCCATCCACAGGTAGACAATAGAAGTGCCAATCGTATGTAGCAAAACTTATATGTCTACATGTACATGTGATGAGACGAAATGAAAATGAGGTTGGTAAGAGAGTGTTAACTATGAATGTTAAATATATAGAGGAAGAGGTAGACCTAAGAAGCAATGGATGGATTGCGTAAAAGACGATATGTGTAAGAGATGAGTGAGCAAAGAAATTGTATATAATAGAGTACTGTGGAAGGAGAAAACATATTGCGCCGACCCCAGATGACTAGGAGAAGGGCAGGGATGATTATGAAGTACTAAATCAAGGTTAATAGCCTTGTGATTTTACTTCTCGATGTTCCAAAAAGTTTGTCGGTATTATGGTACATTTATTATTGCAATATTCGATGCCTTTTTTATAACCGTTTATGTTGCACCGAGAATTTAAGTTTTGTAACTCGTTTATTTAATCTAGGGCAAGCACAACGTGTCCTGGGAGGAGTTCCAGGAACTATGGAAGGAGTACTTCTCTACTGAGGATCCTAATGCGGCCGGGAACTTCATCTTCGGAAGAACTACTTTTTAAAATCCAAGCTAAAACTTTCGAAATTTAAACGAAGACAGAGAGTCTCATAACATTCCAACTAATTTAGATGTTTCTTGAAATGTGACGGGCGATGCTTCTAATCTTAACTAGCCGATTGCGTTCACAGCGTTAATGCAACGACAATGCGGCACACCTATCATTCTTTTAGATATATGTGTTCATGATAAATAAATAACCTATATCTTAAAGTTTCTCTCTTATAATGGATACACTTATCAAATCTAATTCTCATAATTAAGGCTCAAACTCAATTAGTTGCTGTAGACTGTGCTTCCAGACGCGCCCCACGACTGTCAATTTGCTGTCATCGTTTGACATTTGACTATGATAAGACATCAATTCTAAAGTGGAAGTGGAATTCGTCATTTAGAACTAATCTTAACGTCATCAACGTAAAGTATTTATGAATCTCTTTAGAATTTAATTCTTAAATTATTGTCTTTCCGAATTAAGTCTCAATTATTTAAGGTGTTTTCTAAATAATGTATTTTTTGTTCGATTCACTTGAGTATCAGTCTTATGTTGATTTAAATAATGTATAATTTAAAATGACGAATGCGTGTGTTACTCTTTAATGTTGTTTACTATGTTAATTGTTATCTAGTTACCATTATTTCGTTATGGTTGTGTGATTTTTTTTAAATTTATATCTCTCTTATCCTGGCGGGATTTCTCTAGATTCTTATTACATCGCTATACTAAATAATATAAATCAATTAAATGGTCATGAATGGAACTGTTCGTTTTACTGTGAATCCTGACACCGTTACCTATTATAATCATAATCATTTTAAAATAACTAAACATGATCTTCATGACATCACAGATTATGTCAAGGTCGGCCATTTGTAAATCATTCCCAATAATTAATCTATCGTAATCATTAATATTGCAGCTATAATAAACTTCGACAGAAAATATAAGACAAAGTGAGGAAGGTTTATGACACTAACAACGCCCCAAATCTACTGCTACACAGCTAGTTAGGGCGTGCTGTCAATACCAGGACGCCATTACTTGAATTTCATACCAAAATATATTTTCTTAAAGATATTTAAGATAGAATATGATTTTCTCATATTTAAATTTAAAAAAATTTAAATCTATTTGTTTATAAAGTACCTTGCTTATCTATGTGATCATTTGTTAAAAAAAATAATTAAATAACGTAAATATCACACGCTAATCTGTACAGAAGTGATTTGTCTTTATGCTTCCCGTATAATTTTTTAACGGCCGTCTGGTGTAGTGGTAAGTGACATGGTCACTACACAAGGGGGTCGCGGGTTCGAATCCCGCCAAGGGAAGATATTTGTATGATAAATATAAATGTCTTTTCCAGGGTTACGGATGTATATTAAATATATGTATGTGTATAATAAAAATCTTACATTTATATCCGATAACTGGTACCTGTAACACAAGTTCTTTACGAACTTATCACGGGGCCGATAACGTGGCGTGATGTTAAAAAAAAAAAAAAAATTATAATCCATATTCAAACATTTTGAGTCATCCTTTATTTCTTATCTCGTTGCTTAGAAGTATTCTTATATCGTTGCTTAGAAGTATTGTGTATGACAGTTCAAATATACCCACATAATTAAAAAACGAAACTACCATGCACAAAGTAGTTCTTCGTTTTTATTCTTCAATTGGTAGGCAGCGGCTTGGTCGGTAGGCAGCGGCTTGGCTCTGCCCCTGGCATTGCTGAAGTCCATGGGCGACGGTAACCACTCACCATCAGGTGGGCCGTATGCTCGTCTGCCTACAAGGGCAACAAAAAAAAAATTGGACATAATTAAAACAGAAGTACCATGCACACAGTGATTCTTCGTTTTTATCCTCCAATTGGAAAAACTTAATATTTTTAAATGAATGCAGATGGAACTACAATTAACTCTTCTTTTTACCCCAATCCTAATCAAGGTTGGCACAAGATGTATATTTAAATCTAAATCATTAAATCTGAATATAACTATTTGAGTGCCTACATACGAAAATAGTGAGATTGTTCTTTAGTCGAAATAAGCCAAGATAAAAATAAATTCACAGTAGGCTTTGGACAAATTTCCGTGTGTCAGGTGTTCGAAGCCATAAAGAAAAGTGGTGCCGTTACCCAGAAAAGGCGGACCCTTTCCTTAACAAGATAAAGCGGAGGTCAATAGTAGTGATCCGGGCAGGATGTACTTCAATCTATCGAGATAACAAATACACTTACTTATTCAAAACGTTTCATTACATAGAAAGGTACGTATTTGATTCGATGATCAAAAGTAGAATTTTTAACTAATTCTGATTAACTAAAGCATACTGAATCTAGAACATACCTATAAAATTGAGTAACAATCTATGAAAATGGGGAGTAAAAAGAAATTTGATACTTTTTAGTTAATTTAAAAAAGTATAATTATCTCCTAGTTCTGCGAGTATCATTGCCTTATTCCTATTTTTACAAATGAAATTTTAGTTCCAGTTCTTTTTTTTTTCTAACATGCAAATTTATTCCAATATTTTCGCATAAATAAACAACTAAATTAATCTCAACGGATTTCACTGAAGTAAATATGTAAATTTTGAAATTATGGCTTCCGCCCGTGACTCGTATGCGTCCAGGCGTTACGGAAAGGGTCGCCATTTTTTTTTTTTTTTTTTAAATAAAAATGTCGTGTCAGTTTTGGGGAAAGGTTACTTTATTAAATGTGTTTCCCGATATTTTGCGTTGCTGTAATAATTGTTGCATATAATTAATAAATTAACAATTTGTGCTATCGAAATTTCAGGGTCAAGCAATTGATTGACCAAAGTTTTCTTCGTTTGCCCTGACACATTACATGGTTTTTGAAATAGGTTACTTCAGAGACGTCTACAATTTCAAAATGGTACTGCTTTTATCCTTTGGCCTCGTTGAAGACATAATTACAAGGCCTTATCGTAGTGTCATAGTACTAAAAAGATCTAAGAGGGAAGATCACTACTCTAGACTTTTTTGCTAACTTTAAAATTTACGCCTCGATAGAAAGACTCACGAATCGCTTAGAAATTTCAGGAAACAGGCAGATTTTGGTTCTCTCTGTGTTTTTTAAGTTAGATTCCGTGAAGAGTGCTCTGAAAGTTCATTTTGAGTGCAACCGCATCATCATGATCGTACCATCTCTCGCTACTGAAACCGTTACTAGTTTCCCATTTAGTTAGTAGCTGCTCTCGTCAAATACGTGTCAAGATGTGTTATGTCCTACGTACGTCCTGTCAAGTTATGATATTCATCAAAGAAGCTTGAGAAACATTGGACCGCTTGCGTTGCCAATTTCCATGAACGATTTTCAAATTAAATTTTTTGTTGGCAGGTCACCAATCGATAAAAATTAAATATTTCAGCCAATCGAACTGTAACGCCAACACTATTTGTCAGCCGTTCATTGAATGTTTAAATTGTTACATTAGCAATTAATTTAGCCGCATAAATTTTAATATTAGTTGTACGAATTTTATTTTTTGTGGCAATACGATAAATAATAAACGAGACTTTCCTTTTTGGTTACATTAAAATCGATAAACAATTTGCATTGGATTAATGGTCTATTATAGCCCTTAAATGAGATGCAGTGATTGCTTTGAGGCAGAATTAGACAATGAAATGCTGACCAAAGTGTGATAGAAGTTCTCACTTAAAAATTACACAATTATCTTGGTTATTTCGGTAGGCAGCGGCTTGGCTCTGCCCTTGGCATTGCTGAAGTCCATGGGCGACGGTAACCACTCACCATCAGGTGGGCCGTATGCTCGTCTGCCTACAAAGGCAATAAAAAAAATAAAAATAAAAAAATTTTCTTATTTATTTTTTTATTGCTTGGATGGGTGGACTATCTCACAGCCCACCTGGTGTTAAGTGGTTACCAGAGCCCATAGACATCTACAACGTAAATGCAGCCACCAACCTCGAGACATGAGTTGTAAGGTCTCACTTTTAACAATACAACGGCTGCCCCGCCCTTCAAACCGAAACGCATTACTGCTTCACGGCAGAAATAGGCAGGACGGTGGTACCTACCCGCGCTGACTCACAAGACGTCCTACCACCAGTAATTACGCAAATTATAATTTTTACGGGTTTGATTTTCATTACACGATGTTTTCCTTCACCGTGGAAGTCAATCGTGAACATTTGTTAAGTACGTATTTCATTGGAAAAATTAGTACCTGTTGGCGAAACATCGATGCATCGCTTCATACGAATGCACCGAACGTCTTATCCTTTAGGCCACGACGACTTTAATTTATAAGAAAACTATTCTCATTTTTAAGGAAACTATATGCTCAAAATTTCAATGTCAGTTTTCAATAAACAGTAAACGCATAAGAACAAGCACTTATGCTATACAATGAATCCGGAAATTTTGTTCAAGAGACACGTCTTTTTTGGGGCCAAATAAAAATAATGTGGCAAATTAAAGTAAAGTATTTTTTGTGTTGCCAGATTCGAAAATGTCCGTCTCCGAATTCAGAAGGAAGAAGCTTCTGTACGTGTTCAACGTGTTCTTCGGTGAGTTATCAANGGGCCGTATGCTCGTCTGCCTACAAGGGCAACAAAAAAAAAATTGGACATAATTAAAACAGAAGTACCATGCACACAGTGATTCTTCGTTTTTATCCTCCAATTGGAAAAACTTAATATTTTTAAATGAATGCAGATGGAACTACAATTAACTCTTCTTTTTACCCCAATCCTAATCAAGGTTGGCACAAGATGTATATTTAAATCTAAATCAATTTGGATCTTCAATTTCACCCGCAAGATTTTCGTCCAATATCAGATATACTTATGTGGAAACTTTAACAAGAGCTGACTGGCTCTGCAAAAGACAAATGATCCATATAATATTACGTCAAGTCATGTTATTTAAAAGGCTTTAAGAGGACCGACATAGGAATACTCACACAGCGTTATTTTTATCATAGCCAACTTTAAAATCGTCAGAAAAAACAAAACACTGTATCAACTAGAAATAGTCACTCAACGCTTATCAACAAGTCTGCCCAGTCATCTGTGACCAATAATACTGTAAGGTTATCAAAGGTTGAAAAAAGTTCAAGCGAATTAACACACAAACCTCATATAAACCTGATAAGTAAACAATAAAAAATAAAAAAGTCTAATGACATATACATATATACAATAAGCTCCTGCAAAATCCCAAGAAAAGTCGCCGAAGATTCCCTTTTCAATATTGAACGAGATTTTATTCTCAATAACTTGTGTGTTTGGTGATAAGAATAGGGTAAAGCCTACTTTATATGCGTGGTATAAAAATTTACATAAACAAAAGCACATCGTAACGTCGTTGAGGGCTTTTATGATACGATAATCTCCGGGTAACTGTACGCGGACCGGATATTGATTAGACGCTACTGTGGATATCGCATTGTTAGGGTTGAACGACTTTTTTTCATTTTCTGTCCGGATTTACGTTTAACTATTAATAATATTTACGCATAAGTTCAGAAATAATATAGCAATATCAAATAGAAAATTATTAAAAGTACTGTTAATACCGGTTACAGGATATATAAATCACGAAAAATTATAAAATTTTGGGACCGGGTTTCAGAGTCGTTAATCAACCAGTACCATTATTACCCTAACCATTTGCATTAAGATAGTAATAAGCTCGATTTTAAAGAAAGAAAAAAAACGCGCTCTAAAAACAAAGAATCATAAATAGCACAAAAAA